TCTCATCATTTCAGGGATCCCCTCTTTTTCCCATTCTCCCCTTTCTGTTTGACTATGAAAATGTATGAATCAGTCAAAGAAATTTATCAAATTTTGTAGCATTTTCTTTCCTTTCCTGTTCATATACATGGCAAATATGGAATACTTGGATGGCTTTCAATTTTGGGCAACATTTTTGTATTTATATTTATTTTCTCAATTCTTTCATATTAAAGCCGAGTTAGGAAATATCCCATATGGAAAAGCCAAGACATAAATGGTCTTGACCATCTACATTCTAATCCAGACATAAATAAAATGTACCCCCTATTTCTTTTATATGTTCTTTTTATTTGTAATAATATCCAATCCTTGTTAGTATAGGGATTTCCAAGATTTGACTGTTCTGACTGAAAAGGGTGAAATACTCTTAGTATTAAGGTATCTTCATAGTTAACTGAAAAAAAAAATAGAAGTATTTAGGCATTCTTGCATCTTCTATCCTGATACCATCACAAATCCCCCTTCCTATATTCATTCCAAATAAAGGACTACATGAGTGAATTTTATGTCTGTCTGCACTAAAAGTTCATGAGCAAAGAAACAGTATTGTGCTACATGATCATTTGTCCATCTCTTTAGAAACAATCAGAACTAACTGCCTCCACTTTTTAATAATTAATGTATATAAGTAACATTTATTTATTTATAGCTCTGTGAGTTCTGAAAAAGATTGTAATAATATGCAACACTGCAAAAAAAGATGAAGAACAATCCTCCAAATTCCTCTCTGCTTCTATCTGGTCTAATCATCGTCCACCTTTAGTCCCTGGCAATGATAGATTTGATTTCTGAACCTATAATTTTGTCTTTGCATAAAAGTCATATAAATTAGAATCATAGTTAAAATTTAGCCTTTTGTGTTTGCTTTCTTTCACACATTTCACATTTAGTGTTACACATATTGCTTTGTCTTTCTTTATTGCTGATTAATATCACATTATATAGTATAGTACAGATGGTTTATATATTCTCAATTTAAAATATATTTGGGTTATTTCCACTTTTTGAGGTTAAAAACATAACTTACATCAATATCCATTGGCAGGATTTTGTGTAAACATAGACATAGTTTTTTAAAAGTAGACAGAGAACCATGAAATTGAAGCTCATTGTATGAAACATGTAACATGCTGTTCTGAATCTATGTCAGAATTTATTAGTTTCATTTGAAAATCTCTACCATTCTAATAAGTATTAGAATATCTGATTGTGGTTTTATGTATAATGATGTTGAAGACATTGTCAGGTGTGGGTTTCTATATAACTTATTTGGTAAACTG